AACATTCTGGGATCACCGCTATGCCCCCCGAGCCACTCGTGCTAAGTTCCTGTAGATAATACGAAGGATTAACCAAAGGATGATTGTGGGCAAATATTTAGGGGTTAGGGATATCTCTTACAAGTGTGCGGCCCTGATGGCCAACACCTATATTGATTCCTGCTTGTTGCCCTCCAAGCGGCCCTACACTTGAGCCTGCTTCTAGGTGAGTACCTCTCAATGATACGGCTATGTTCTTCATGCCTTCATGCAGAGCCTGCATCATGATCTGTTGTCATTCTTTCTCCCTGCATTTTGAGTTTCCAGGGATCAGAATTCTCTTCCAGCTACTTATCCATCCAGTCTTGAATTTCCCACAGCACTTCTGCCACAGGTCCGTTGGATATAATCAGTGGGTTGGGTTGGCCACTTCCTGACTTTGAGCTAGGGCTCGTGTTGTTGCTACCTGTTGTCACCGGCACTACATGCTCACGATGTTCAAGTGCTTCAACATCGGTGATAAGTGTTCTGATCCTGCATGCACAAATATCCCTTCTGGTTCGTGAGAACCAGCACCTGTTTCATTAGTCCTTTTGTCTTTTCACGTCTTTGCCATCTTTGTTACATAGGTCCCACCGGGCGTGCCAGAAATTGTTCATGGTTGAACAATAAATACCAGGCGTGCCAGAGACGCTGAGTCTTAATAGATAACGAAAAGGGTCCCGAGTTCCCTTACCACAGTTTGCTCGATGTAAAAAGATACAAGGCTTTGGTAGAACAAGTGTATGATTTTATTGAAGTGTAAAAGATTATAGACTAAAAACTAGGAACTGAAAAGGGCTAATGAATGTAAAATGTGCGAGTCTTAATTGAGTGTTGATTAGCGTTCTCTGTTTTTTCTTCTTTCTATTTATAGTGTCAAATAGCGGAAGCCTTTTCCTTAGGACCTAGCACATTCTGCCCAAGAATCAGGAATCTCGCGAAACTTATGGCACGGTCTCTCCATTTTGATAACCAACCCGTTTCACCAAACTATTTGGGCATAGATTTCAGCATTACTTAGGATCATGTCTTCATATTAACGGTCTAATATTCACAGCTGACGGGATTTCGGCATGTTTTCTTGTGTGGACTTTACTGAGCTTCGGGGCCAGCCCTTTTTGTTTATATTGGGCCTAATACTTTGATTACTCAGCCCAACTAGTCTTGTGACCTATTTGAGTGACGTTTCATATTTAACCCAAACAACACCTTTATTTTTATTTTTTTTTGAGTTTATTTCACTATTTTGACAATCTTCTACTTGCATACTCCCTTTAAACTATAATATAGAATATCATCAGTAACTACTTTATGGTTATCAAAAGAAAGTTTGGTAAAACCTTAATCTCTTAAAAATTATACATATTTTTAATTTTATCCTCATTAATATCCTATTTAAATGTCTTAATAAAGACAATTGAAATTTCAATACATATTTTTTGTTTTCAAAAAGTAATAAAGTAAGAATATGGTTGGAAAAAAATTATAAGAACAATCTAATACCTTATACTTTGAATTTAAATTTTAAAAAATGACAATAAAATCCTCTTGAATTATATAAATGACAATTTGGTCCCTCAAAAAGTCATAATTCCACTGAAGGACCTTTGTATTAATAAATTTTAAATTAAAAAGACTATTTTACCCTTATTGATAAGTTGTGATTTTTTGTTCAATTCTTGTGATTTTTTAAATAAAAGTTGTTATTCCTTAAATAAAAGTTATGATGGAGATTTGTTATTTTAAAAACTTGTTTTCAATAATAGAAATTATATTTGACAAGTTGTAATTTCTTGTTCAATTCTTGCGATTTACAGAACAAAAGTTATTATTCTTTAATTAAAAGTTGTGATTGAGGTTTATTTTTTAATAACAAAAATTACATTTGATAAATTGTAATTTTTAGTCTAACTCTTATGATTCACAAAATAAAAGTTATTATTCTGTAAGTGAAAGTTGTAATTGGAGCTTATTATTTTTAATAAAAGTAAAATAATCTTTTCACTTTAAAATTTATTGATACAAAAGTCCTTAAAGATTTCAGTAAAATTATGACATTTTAAAAAAAATTACCATTTATATAATTCAGGAAAATTTTATTATCATTTTCTTTTTAAAATTTTCAAATGATACCCTATATTATGACGGGGAGGGAGTACTCATGTTTTCACTCCACTCTTATTCTAAATCATGCTACATTAGATGACATTAATGGCCCATTTGTTTAAAATTAAAATATAAATAAATTTTAGATAATTTAAAAAATTTATAAAAAGAGATTTATTTTATAGAAATTTTATAAAAAGAAAACATTATTTTACGTTTGGTTACAATAATAAAAAACAATTACTAGTAGGTTGTTTTAAATTTTTATGATATCTTCGTTGATCTTTTGTTTTATAAAAATGATTAACTATTTAAATATTTTTAAATTTTATGATATCTTTATATATCCCGTCTTTTTCAAACATTCTTTCTCATCTATCGCATCAGATTAGTTTTAGAAACTAGTTTCTTAAAATAATTAGAAATCTTAGAATAAGGTAAAATAAATGGGCCCTTAATTTCTCATCTGGATTAGTCTTCGGGTGTTTGGATTTTAATTGGATAAAATTAATTATAAAAAATATTAATTAATATGATTGATTTTAATTATGATTGATTATGTTATAACGTGACTATGTTTTGATTTTTTTTCCTTCTGAAATTGACTTTGGCAAAATTAAATGTACTAGGATGATTTTAATCAAAATTAATTTTAAATGTATAAAATACTATAATCGGCGTGAGTTTTATAATGCAAACATTAATAGAATTGTATAATATTATTAAATTTATTTTGATCTATTTAACAAATAAAATATAAATAGTAATTATGAAGTTGCCGAAAATTATATTGTAAATTATATTGTAATTATAGATTAAATATATAAATATAATTTAAATTAAATAAATTATAAAAATATATATTTCAGTTTAAATAAATTTTATAAATGAATATATAATGGCCCCCTAGTGCACATTCTTTTGCCAGGGAGAATTCACATTCATTCTTTTGCAAGGAAGGGGAAAAAAACAGGTTAAGGCCCATTTTTATTTTGAATTTTTTTAAAAGAGTTTTGGATATTTTATACTAATAAATGGGATAATTCTCTCCTTAATTTTTTTAGGAGCAAAAAAGTCCCTTGCATTAGTCACCTCTTAACTTTTGCATTTTCTACTGGATAGTATATGCGTGGGGCTCACACACGACAACAAGTAAGATTATGATCATATCCTTTGGTGCTAATTTGTAGAGTAGGGGAAAATAGGCCGAGCCCGTTGGGCCAAGCTATTTAAACCCATTTAATAAAAGGGTTGGGCTTATATATAGGACCATGGAATTGCAAAATGAGCTAGCTCTAATAGGCTCCATTTTAAGCGAGCTTAAATGGACTAGCTCAAATTGGCCAAGAGCTATCTGTTCAAGCTTGCATCTATTATATATATATATATATATATATATATAATCCTAAACTAAACTTTCTAAACTCATTTAAGCTTGTTGAAGTATTTTTAGTTTGATAAAAAAATGTAAGAAAAACATGTAAATGGGCTCAAAGCTCATGGGCCAGTGCTAAACTCGTTATGCTAATGGCCAGGCTTAGCATTTGAGGGCCTCAAAAGATAAGTGAGCTTAAATGGGCTAACTTTTTAGACCAGAGCTCGTCAAGGGGCTAAGCCAGCTCATTTTTCTAGTTCTACTAATTTGCCTTGAACTCTTTTTTTAAAAGCGACGAGTATTATGAAGTCTTAGTAAAATAAAATTTAATAAATATTATTAAAATATTAAATATTTTAATATTTAATAATGAAATATTATTATTTATCAATATTCATCTAAAATTTGTAAATTTTTTTTTAAATACAGATCAAACTAGTTTTTTAGAAATTTAAAGATGACTTGTAATTTTTTTTTATATATCGATCATATTTTTAATATATTAAGTTTCGTAAATTTTTTAGGTTATTTTCAGTAACTTGTTTTGGTCAACTAAAGGTCTTCTAAAATATTACACCACCTAAATTTAATATTCTCTATATGTCGCAGTGTTAGAAGTAAAGTTTGAAACATGACTAACATGTCAACAAAAATGCTCATTTGAAAAATATTGCTTGCCTTATTAATGTGCCATTAAAAGTTCTACTTAACAAGAGAATAATGAAGAGATGAGGAAGAAAAATAATTTTGTTAGTTTTGAGGCTTATTCCTCCATTTTTAATACTAAGTTGCAAAATATTAAAATATTAAATTTGGATAGTACAATATTTTAAAAGACCGTTAATTAACCAAAAAAATTACAAAGAAACACCTAAAACTTAATGAATTTAATCAATATTAAAAATATGATCATTACATAAAAAATTGTCATTGTAACTTCCTAAAAAAATTAGTTTGAGCTATTAATATTTAAAAATAATTTATAAATTTTGGATAAATATTTTATAAATAATAATATTTAAATTATTAAATATTAAAGCATTTAATGTTTTAACAATATTTATTAAATTTTATTTTAACAAAATTTCAGGATACCCAACATTCATAGAAAAAGAATTAAAAGGCAAACTAACACCAAAGAACATGATCAATCCTACTTGTCATCATGTGATCTTACACACATCACATCAACCAAAAATGACAAAGGTCACAAGTGATTAACAAGAGGTTTTTTTTGGCCATTGAAAAAATGATTTAGGAAATAATTAGCCTACTTATCAGTACATGATGCACAACGCTCATGAAAAAAGTCTAGAAATACAAATAAACCTTAACCCAAAAACAAAAAAAGATGCAAGGGTATAATTGGATTTGTATAAAACTCAAACAACACGCGTGGCTTCAGCGAGATAATTGATAATAAGAAGCTGGTGAGTTGTGAAAGCAAAATCGATTTGTAGAAAGGGGTGTTTGTAGAAAGGAAGGACAAATAGAACCATACAAGCTATACTGTCCCTTGATTATATTATATTTTCAACATATAAATTTAAAAATATTTGTTTTATGATCACTGGTTCAACAATCAAACTAGAGAACAAAAAGCTCATACTTTCATCAGTTCATTAACTATCCCAAAGCCCTTTCTTTAGCTTACAATGAAGCTAGCACAGTTCAATGAAACCCATCAACACCGGCTCATGCCTCAACTGGAATCCATAAACATAACTGATGATCATTGAATTTTGGATCATTTGAACTAATACTAAACAAAGACAAGCAGTGATTTAAGAAAACTATAGAGGCTTCTATCAACAAAGATCAAAGTTGGTGCTAGACAGAAATATTGCAGCAAACAACCGGTGCTTTCAAACGCAAATACTTACGATAGTCTCATCCTCTTCTCTACTCTTGGAGAGAGCTGTTGTGTGGTTCTTGTTGGGCTACCTTTTACCTTCTCACTGTTAACAAACTCGGAAAAGGATGGAATTGGAGGCAAGTTTGTCTTCAAGGATGAACTTTCAATTGGTAAAGCGCATGGGGAGGTTTCTGACTCAGGAATGGCATCAGGTTCATTGTCAGTCCCTTCTTTCACAGAAGGGTCTGACAAAGGTGGTGTCTTAACAGGATGTTCCTCCTCGGACGACACGATCATTGATGAGGAAGCATCGACTCCTCTAAGGCGACTTACCAGATCAGTTGAATTTGTAGTTGACAGCCACCTAACAGTACTTGCCACCTGTGAATAATAGAATGATTTGCCAACCTTCCCATATTTCTTATAGCATTCATCCTCAAGCAAAGATGCTGAGGTTTCCACCTCAATCCTGGAAAACCAAGTTCACAAAACAGCTCGTGTCTCAAAATCAATTGTGGCTTCTACTCTAAAAAGATCAAGAAAAAGGGCAACCTAAGCAAATGCACATTCCCACTGATAATGGCGAAATGGAAAGTGAAAACTTAGTGAGGTACCCAAATGTTTTCTAGAAACAAAATGGAGAATGAATCTAAATAAAAAAAAGGATAAATGAGCAAAATACCTCTTGAATTTTAGGTCCATTAACACTATAGACCCTGAATTTTTTGGGTCCTTGTCCGTAATATTTGGATCATTTACTGTTTTAAAGCCATACATTTGTGTAACAATAAGGAAAATTGGGAGAGGTACCGTATGGCTAAGAAGGAAACTAAGAGAGCTGTGGGTGAAGCTCGTTCTAAAGCTTTTGAAGAATTTATATGAGCCTTGAGACGAAGGAAGGAGAACGAAACATTTATAAGATTGCTAAGAGTAGGGAAAGAAAATCAAGAGATCTAGAATAGGTAAGGTGTATAAAGGATGACGAGGGAAGAATTCTAGTTACAAATGATGAAATTAAAAATAGATGGGAGACTTACTTTTCCAAACTTTTCAATGATGGAGAAGGTTCATCTAGTAACTTGGAGGATTTAGAAACCGGTGAAGGAGAACAAAATTTGTCATTCTATCGAATAATACGTGATAAGGAGGTAAAGGAAGCTCTTAAGAAAATGGCAAATAGTAGAGCCAACGGACCTGATTGTATATCTATTGAAGTGTGGAAATGTTTAGGTGAAGAAGGGGTGAGATGGTTAACTAAGTTATTTAATGTGATTTTACGGTCCAAGAAAATGCCTGATCAATGGAGGAGAAGTACATTAATTCATATTTATAAAAATAAAGGGGATATTCAGAATTGTACTAACTATAGAGGGATTAAACTCATGAGCCACACAATGAAATTGTAGGAGAAAGTAATTGAGCACAAGTTGAGATTGGAGACAAGTATTTCTGAGAATCAGTTTGGTTTTATGCCAGTTAGATCGACTACAGAGGCGATTTATTTACTAAGGGGATTAATGGAAAAGTATCGTTGTAAAGATAAAGATTTACACATGATTTTTATTGATTTGGAAAAAGCTTATGACCGTATATCAAGAGAAGTGCTTTGGAAAGCCTTGAAAAAAAAGGAGTACGGATTGCTTATATTAAAGTCATAAAGGATATGTATGAGGGGGTAAAAACTAGTATAAGAACGCCTAGTGGTCAAATAAAGGATTTTCCTATAAAGATTGGACTACATCAGGGATCATCTTTGAGTCCTTATCTGTTTAACTTGATTCTAAATGTTTTGACGGAACATATTCAAGGGGAAATTCCCAAATGTATGCTCTTCGCGGATGATATAGTTCTTATAGCAGAGATAAGAGAAGAGGTTAATTGCAAACTTGAGTTATGGAGGAAGACATTGGAGTCGAAAGGTTTCCGTTTGAGTAGGAGTAAGACAGAATATTTATATTGTAAATTTGGTAAGAGACTAGTCGACAATAATTTGGAAGTGAAATTGGGAGATCAAATTATACCCCAAGTGGAAAAGTTTAGATATTTGGGAGCCATTATTCAAAATGATGGCGAAATCAGTGGGGATATTTCACATAGGATTCAAGTTGGGTGGTTTAATTGGAAAAAAGCTAAAGGAGTTATTTGCGATCGTAAGATGCCTAATAAACTTAAAGGAAAGTTTTATCGTACTGCTATCAGACCGGCCATGTTATATAGTAGTGAATGCTGGGCTCTAACGGGACAGCAAGAGCATAAAGTTGGAGTAGCAGAGATGAGAATGTTACGATGGATGTGTGGACATACACGTAAAGATAAAATTCGAAATGAGCACGTACGTGAAAAAGTGAGGGTAGCACCTATTGAGGAAAAAATGGTAGAAAATCGGTTGAGATGATTTGGGCATGTACAAAGAAGACCACGGGAGGCACCAGTGAGAAGAGTGGAACATATAACTTTGAGCCCGATTAAGAGGGGTAGAGGAAGGCCTAAGAGAACACTTTTGGAAGTTGTTGAACGCGATCTCTTAATTAATAATATTCCTAAAAGCTTGATAAATGATAGAGTACAATGGCGTCTTGCAATCCATGTAGCCGACCCCACCTAGTGGGATAAAAGCTTGTTGTTGTTGTTGTTTTCTATAAATTTTGAAATTCTTTTCTGTCATTTTTTAATCAACTAATAGTTAAAGTTAACTTTTGTTTACAGCAATTGCAAAATTGCACCGCTTTCAAAAGTTGAAGGAATAATTTGCACAATAAACCAATTCAAGGTCTATGGTGCTACTTAACTTAAAGTTTAGGGGGTAATTTACTCATTTACTCAAAAGAAAATAGAATAGGTGCATTCACTATTTCTTTTCTAGAAAACATTTTTCTATCTTCCAAATATTGCATCACAGTTTGGCTATGTTATGCTAATTTAACAAGTTCAACTTTGGTAAAATAATTATGTAAAGCTAAACAAGTTTTTGCAAGTCGAATAAATTGTAGACTAGTTATATGAAGCTGTTCTTTGAGAAGCATCAGGCAGCAAGTGTTTTTTGTTTAAGGAGGTGGGTACGGAAATGGAGGATTGAAAGAAGACAGAATTCTAACAAGCAAGAAGGATACAAATCATACTTCAAGTTGTGAAGCCGTTGCTGGGCCTGCTTTAGAGAATTTTGCAGTTTTTCCCTGCTTGCTCCTCTCATTGTGTCAGATATAGCATTCTTGTCAACTTTGTTTCTCTGTAATTCAAATTAGAAATGAATGCTTGAATATAGGAGAAAGGCAAAAGAAGTTACATGTTGTGATCAATTCCTTTAACATTGATAACCAAAGAGAATAAATATAGAGAGACAAAAAATGAACTTTTCAGTTTAGATTAGATTGGTGACAGAACCTGTTTCTCAGCATTTTCATTTCCATAGAAATTTTCTTCAGCACGTTGCAACAATGCAATTTTTTCATTCACTCCCAATCTTGATTTACACTTTGATTTGGTTAGGTTGTTGACAATCTCAGCACCATCTGCAAATTAGAACTTACCAAATTTGAATGGAAAACCAGCAAACTATCCCCTGCCCCCTTGCCCCTTATCACACCAATTGAAAAAAACATGAATTCTTGAAAAGAATTCGGTGCACCCACCATCTGAATCAGATATATCCTCATCTGATCTACTTGCTTCTTCATCACGATTCCAGAATTCAGATACTTGTTCTTCATCAACCCCACTCGTCGAACTGAAATATGGAAATTACATGCATCACTTAAGTAGCTTGGTTGATCCCATTAAACCAGCTAGAATAACATTTAGTGCTGGCATAATATAGACCACAAAAACCCAGATGCCATGGCTATCATTCAATGTTACTAATTAAAAATCAGAACATGCAATTAGAAATCAACAAAATGGAGGAAGTTATTAAATTACTTTGAATGGACTTAAACCAATTATGCTCTACCTATTCAGCCAATAATTATCAACATCATAAATTAGTGTGTCACACAAACCTGCTGGACTGTCTACGAATCTATACTCGATCTTTTTTGCTTTTCAACTTGGTCACCATTCAAAGAATAATAAGATTAAGCACAAATACAATAAGCACCTGGTGATGAAGACTCGAGAGGAACTATGCTTCTGGTGTAATGATCGGGCAGTTGTTAAGTCCTCCAAACATCTAGCAATTAAGTTCGGATGTCTGCAAGCATCACATGATTTTCCACATAGTGATGCCGTCACCTGCTTTGAACAGAGGCAATAGAATGCTCAACTTAAGTCAGTACAAAGATTAGATACACCCATATTATCTACAACCACATCCATTTTATTACCTGCTCCCCAAAACTCTCAAGAATCTTTTTCCTTCGGCATCCAGATCCTTCACAGTATTCAACCATCTACACGATTCAAATTTGAAATCCATAACTTAAATGAAATGAAGTGGTTCAAAAAGTATTCAGGAATTTTGGCGTCACCTGACTAAAGTCAGCTAGGGACCTTTTGGATGATTCTTCTTGAGAGCTTGATGACTGTGACTTGTTGCTTCCAGATTTGCTCAGTATAAATTCCTGCCACATAGATCATAATTTAAAAAATCATGTCAAACATGAACACTCAGGCAAGTTTTTTTAATTGGTAAGAACCACTCGGAAACTAGAATACAAATGGTGATAATGACTTAAAGTAAATGAGCCAACCATTCGTTTGCGATCATCTACTCCATAGTACATCAAACTCGTAGAGGGCAACTGATCACGACCTGCTCTGCCTGACTCCTGATAGAATGCTTCCATTGACTTTGGAATATTAAAGTGGCATACAATTCTGACATCCTTTCTATCAATGCCCTGATGAATAACAAACCATTCCTAGAAAATTGGATAAACTTAAAAAAGTATTTACAATACTCTTTGAGATATAAGTTCTAGAGTCAAATTACTGGAAATCAACTTACCATTCTGAATTAACAGCAAAAGCTCAGTAACCGTGTTTAGAACAGTACAGCTCCATGCAGATGACAGGAAGAGGCAATATGAATAAATCACAAACTCAACAAATTCAGACTTTCATGATAAAATTAGAAAACAGGTGTATATTTTATAGAACATTGTCTGTGATGTTCATTTGGCACAATTTTGCGACCAATTCAATGTGACAGTATCATGTAACTTGGCCGACAAATGGCAATACTTCAACAAAAAAGAAAAGGACATTAAGAACTAAGAAAGTTAAATATAAAGGGTGCAGCAGGCGTGATATTTTAATGAGAATGTTGGATGAGTACATTTCTTAACATAAAATAAAAATTGGTCCGTCATTCCCATGGAATATATTCATCTCGGTTAGCCCAATAAAAGGGGGGAAAGAAATAAATTATATTAAACACAATTGGTTAACAGAAAACTGCAGGGCATTCCAGTGTAAATGCAAGGTTCCAGGTCTTGCAAGTGACCTTAAACAAAAATGATCCCAAAAGAAGAAAGGAGAAGCAGCTCTACTTTTACACTCCTAAGATCCCACTTCCGTAGTAGAAAAACTAAGTAATTACACTATCAAGAATGAATCTATGCTTGACAAAAGGTCTCATTTCAGGTGGATAAAATTACATAGAAACTTCCAAATTGATGCCCACACCCACAAGTAGAGTAAAACCAACAGGCCCAAAAAAGTTACACTTAGCCATCAAAACCTCCAAATTTATTAGTTATGAAAAGAAAGTAAGTGCAAATCAACTTACACAACCAAAACAATTTTAAATGTAATATTTAGTACAAGGTCAATCAGTAAATGTTATGTACCATGCATGTCATTGTCTACCAATTTTGCATTAAAAATGTGGCAAAATATCTTACCACCAGGACTATTAAGTCCTATGCCAAAAGCAAGCTTAGTGCAAATTTCAAAAAGGAAAACTAACCCAAAAGCAACAGTGGCAACAACAACTTGTATCTTGGATGAAATCCAATTATCCAACACAGACGTCCGCAACTTATTATTCAACCCTGCATGATAGGCTGAAGAGGCAAGAAGGAATATATATATATATATATATATCATATTAATTGGTAGTTGTCACCTGGGAGCTCATTTGCAAAGACAGAAAAGCAAAGGGTGCATGATTACCAGCACAGGAAATGCCATTTTGGGATAGATGAGCTGCCAGGTCATTGCATGTTGAACGCTCAAGGCAGTAAACAATTGCACAGACATCTCCTTTAGATTTTAGCATATTGGACATATCAGTATAAGCATCTTCCAACAGATCTTTGTATCGTACTGCATCATTATCAAGTTTATTGAGATACATGCACATTAATAAATACTGATATATGTTTAGCTTGCACAAAATTCATGAAGGGAATTGATCTATTATGTTTATTACATGAGATATGGTATAGCAATGTTTCATGGTTTCAAGCATGATAAAAATGGCATATATAAGTAAGATAAAATATACAGCTAAATAATTTTTGGAAGCACATACAAAGCTGGAAGCACAAACCTTCATAGTATATATTAGGACGATTAAAAGATGACTTTAGTATTAATGGATTTTGCATGTTCAATGATTTTACCACATCCCTCTGCACCCTGAAGGGGAAAAGAGGAAAAAAAAATCAAAAAAGGGGGAAAAAGAGGTAATACCATAATGTGAGTCTCATCATTCTCTACAGCCAACATAGGGGCCAGAAAGATCATGGTTGCTAGATATAAACATATACATGAAAATGTATTACATGAACAGATTCTGTGTGGATGAACACATTTGTGCCCCTACTAGCATAAAATGATTTTATAATTCAGTGATAATGATGTAATGATACAAAAGGTACCAAATGACTTTGTGATCATATTAGAAATATAATGAGTAGAAAACTCAAGCAAAGTAGAATCTTACAATTTTCAAGGTGTTTTTAAAAATATTTAAACAATCTAAATAAACCAACGTAAAACTTTGTTGAATTTCACATGGATATAGACAAAAAATCTAAAGAAGAAAAGATTACAAAGCAAGACCTTTAAGAAGAAATTAAACATATACAGGAAGCAATACATCAAATAAAACAAAAAAAGATGCAACTGTAGAATGATATTTTAACATTAATGGGAACAAAATATGTCAATAAAGAAAACAGAAATTGATGTTTTGTCTAAATTACAAGACAGAAAAAATTATTTAAACTTTATCTAAAGTACAGAATCATATCAAGTAAATCCAGTAATTAATGACAAATTTTGTGTTTACTTCTTGATCTTCAATTTTTTCTAGGATGTCTATTAAAACCTGTACCTTATCGCTAGTTAGTACATTTGTATATCATGCGCAGTTGTTACTTGAATGCAATCCTTCCCCCCCCCCCCACAATTTTCATGTGTCTTGTTTGGAGGTGAGTACTTCTGAGTTTGATTCCTACTTTCATGCACTAAAAAAAGGCTTTGCTTAAATTCCCGTCTATGTCTAACTTATCAGATGTAGCATACAAATTATAAAATAAAAGTGTAGAAAAGTTTTGAATAACAAAATATATTGAACTAAAGAAAGCTTACAATAGCTTTGTTGTAACTCCGGAAACTAAAAATAACTTAGCTGAAATACAAAGTCTGGGCACAAGGGAAATAAAAACTGAAAATTCAACCCACACCCTGCCTTATGGATACAAGACTAGTTATAGAACTTTTGAACTCTTTACTATGCAAATCCAGGCATTACTGATTTGCTTAAACATGATCTTCTTGTCCTCATTTTGCTTTTCAAGATATACTTAGCAATATGTACAGAACTGAAACTTCAGGGGGAAAATTAGGAAACTTTTGTCAACAAAAGTTTCCATGTGAACTTTAAAAAATCATCAAATGCCATTATATTTGTCGTTCAAGACTTTTCTATGCTTTATTTTCTAATAACTTGTTATTACATTCAATCCTAATCCTATCATATATGCTATCAATTTACATAAAAAGTTTCATTAGAAAAAGCACATCAAGAAAACTCACTTAGGAGCAGCCGTAGCAGTCAGAGCTAACATTGGTACATCCACAAGGTGGTCTCTCAACGATGAAAGCTTACGGTAGCTAGGTCTGTTCTCCAGTAGATAAAAAGAAAAGATTTATCTACCATGAGAATAAATAAACTTAGCACAACATCTATATATCCACACACCCACACAAACACACGCACCCACACAAATATGCAGTTGGACAAGTTTAGCCCCATGCCATCTTCAACTTGCATAACTTTTAGCCAACAAGTAAAATGTCCTATTTACCTGAATTTTTGAAACTACCCATTATTTTATTTTTATTTACAAAATAAAAAATTATCGAAATAGAGAATTAAGCTAGTGGCTAACTATTTAAAATTTTAAAATTACTTATTATTTTGTTATTTTGAAATAACAAGAAAGTAAGAAGTAGAAATTGGAGTTTGTGAGTAGTTACATGAAGCTATAAAGCTAAATGGGAAAGCTTGCACAAACGAGGGTCCGTAGAAGCCCCTTGATGCAGGACAGATGAGGGAAACAAAATAGATAAAATAAAGTCATAAAATTAAATCACTAGGACATTACATAAATCCTACCTAATTTCGCATCACCCTTTCTCTCATGCATAGGGCTCCGATGATAGAGATTAATAGAAAAAAATCCTAAAGGGAAGGAGAAAAGATAATTGTACAACTCTCAACAATAATAAACTCTAAGTCTGAATAAAAGGATAAATGCTTAATTCATTAGGAGTTCCACCAGCTAGGTTTCCCATCTGTAGATTGGGGCACCTAAACATGGCACAACAACTCTTAAGGTTGCACACTTATACTCAATTGAGACTCAACAAATTTGCAACAATAAGTACTTCCTCTCACATCATCCTCCATAGATGAACTATAGCTCTCAGAATTCTTCAACCTACTTTCTGTGAGTGGCCTCACATCGTTCTCCCATATTCCTTGCCCTGGACAAATTGTCTAAAACAGCAGCTTTTAGAAGTCTCCAAACAACTAATTCTATAAAATCCCATCAAACCTACCAAAAAGTATTGGTCATAGTGGAAGGGACCATGGCCCCTTAAGCACAAGGTCTTAGGTTTGAGTTCATGTGAATGAAGAAAACATCTTTGGGAGATCTACCCTCAGTTAGACCTGGCAATGCTCAAATCTAACCCAGTCAAATAGCCATATCAAAAAATCCCATCAAAGTTCTCCCAACTAGCCTCCCCTCTCTACCAATTGGGCTGCACACTGGGGCACCCAAAAAGAAAATCAAGTCCTGAAGTCTTAAACATGTGTTTTTCCTCTCAACTCAAGAAATCAGCCCCACCAATTTCTGAATAATAAAAAACAAGCTACCTTTATGCAGGGACCAAAGCAATCAAGATCAAGCCCTTCAAATCCTAGCCCTCGTCCAAATGCACCTCTTTGGACAATCAATTACCATAACCATTTCCAATATGCCAGAATAGTGGGTGGAAAGTGTACTGTGTACAAACTTACATGTGAGTGCAAAAGGAAGTGTGGGAGATCTAACATGTGACAATAGGAATGTAATTGTCAACTCCTTTTATTGCCTCAATAGAAATAGAATCCTATTCAATTTGCATAATACTTCTTTTTTTTTTGTTATTTAGTCAGTAAGCGAGGAAAGAGAAGTGGGAATAGGGCCACTAATTTATACTGTCAAGCTCCTTCCTTTCTATTTATATGATAAAAAATAGAAAAAAATTAATCATTTGGTCCTTATAGTTTTGACTCAGTTGTAACTCAATCCTTAAAGTTTTGATTCCATTGTAAATCAATCTTTGAACTTTGCCTCTTGCAATTTAGTTCTTGAAATTTCAACCTCTTAAATATTAGTCCCTATATTTTAAAAAAATTATAAAGATTAAAAATATTTTAAATTTTTAATATTTATAAAGATTAAAAGGGTTTAATAATTTAAAATATTAGTAATAAATTTTAAAATATTTTGAATTTTTATAATTTTATATTTTAAAATATAGGGATCAATATTTAAAAGGTTGAAACTTCAGGGACTAAATTGCAAGAGACAACGTTCAGAGATTGATTTACAATCGAGTCAAAACTTCAGGGATTGAGTTATAACGAGTCAAAGTTGAAGGATTGAGTTACAAGTGAGTCAAAACTACAAGGATCAAATGATTAATTTTTCTTAAAAATACTATCAAGTACAAAGATAGTACAGTGTACAGCTAGTATAGGCCAAGCCCACAATTGTTGACTCACATAATTTTAACTTGGCCATCACAAATTGTGATAGAAGTCTACTAGAGATTCTCGAGTTTAATAGCTATATCATATGACAAACCTGAAATCGTGGCCCCAAGTTGAGATGCAATGTGCCTAAAAAATTTTGCAGAAGAGAAATGACTTGGTAATATAGAAAATTCCAGCATAATAACACAAATGGTCTTTTCAAGCTCACACCTCATCTATGGCAATGAGATTCAACAACCCTTTAGCATATATTTTTTTCAGCTTTGACATAAAACCCTGTGTTGCTATCAATTCCGGGGTGACATACAGCAGCCTTATAGAAGGCTTTGCAGAATCAAGGTCCTCATAAATCTACAAAAGATAGCAGAAAAGTCACCATCTGAATTTTAAGATAACACAAGGAATACGTGAAAAATTGGTTAAACTGCAACAAATAAATTTGGCGGGAATGGTCATCATCCTTCCACCACAGATACCAAGACCCATATATCATTTACTTTTTAAGAAAAAAAATAAGTGCATTTATGTGCCAGAAAGAAACCCTCATTCCAACAAATATTGAATGAAAAATAAGATCTCATCATGAATGCCAAAGGTCAGCAACATTAAGGATTAGACATCCATGAAGTTTAGCAGTTTCTGGAAGAAGCTTGAATTTAGCATTCCAATGGTATTTTTCTGAAACCCATGTGAAGTTGCATTTATTCTGAATTCCTAATATAAAATATCAACATACTGACAATCCACCTTATTTTTTACATCAGCTGTTTGGGTTGAGGAGAGAAATTCCGCAGCAATTCCTTTCTCCTTTAATGACATCACTTGGTTTTCCTAACTTCAAGAAAGAACCAATGAGGGAAAACAAAATTGGAGCCTCAAAAAACACAATGCATCAGAAAACGATGCATTACAGAAAGATCAAGCATGCTTACCATCAAAGCTTTCAGTTAAAAACAGATCAAAAGTGAGAATCAACAGTTGGTCCCCTATCACAAATGACCAGAAAATTATCATGCAGCATTTAGCTCAGCTAATCATGTCAGCTTCAGAGAAGAAGAACATTATTCACCTATTAATGGACAAACAACTAGAACTATTCCTGTTTTAGCCAATGCAGGGATCTGATAACATAATGACTTCCCTCCTCCTGTTGGCATAAGACAAAAACAATCTCTTCCTGCATCCAAAAACAATAACAGCTATATCTTACACAAAATTAGAAAGAGAGGAAACTAAAAATCCATTTCGACTTGTAATTTAAATTGCTCAAACAAATAGTTACTCATAATCATTGGGTAACAAGGGAGCTGGATTCTTCCCCAACCTTCTTTGTAGAATGTTTACGATATTATTGCCATCATTACTTCGCACTATTTGTTTTATTTGTATAAAGCAGGAACATGACAACTATTTTCCATCATCAAAATCACTTTTTTCTCATTATATTCATTTCCATTCTGTGTACCAGTTGAAATGGCATGCTAGGACAGCCTTTCAAAATGATTTTGTTCTAACACTATGTCACTTACCATGCTTCCTAAGAAACAAAACAGAGTATATCAACATGAATGGAAAATTTAAGAAGCGATTTACCTGAAAGTACAGCTTGAATAGCCTCCAATTGCTTGCCCCTAAAATCAGGGTAACCAAAATGCCATCTTAAAAGCTTCACCAATGCTTCCTTCCCAGATAAAACCCTCTTCTTATTCTCATGGGTTTTACTTTCTATGTTCTTTAATGGCAAAGGACACTTGTCCATTGGATTCCCCACCTGCGAAACAAAACAACATAAATCCACTCGTTATTCAATCAATTTATCACAAAAAATAGTAAATTTAAGGTGAGATGAGAAAATTTGAGTCTTAACTACAATCGCTTTCGAAGTAATATACCACGGAAAAAGGAAAATTTTGAGCGTTGGTTTTCCTTCGTCTGCTATCACAGTATTGCACACGATTGGCGCTCTTCTTCTTTTTCTTTCTTTAAAAAACACTCTTTCATCTGTCAGGTTTCTTATGTTCAAGTTCATTTTGGATCTCAATACACTGTCCAGTCCAGTAATTTCATTTACACTTTTTTTAAAAAAAAATTAATTGTTATCTAACCAAATTATCCTTAATTTAAACTTGTTGCGTTCTTATAATTTTAAGGAAAAAAAATTATGAATATTAAAATAAAATTTATAAATAGTAATTAATATTTGTAACACTTGAGAAATATTCAAAATTTTAAATATAAACTTATAAATTGTTGTTGAATTATTGTAATTTTAAGAAGAAAAGTTATAAATTTTAAAATAAAACTTGTAAATGATCATTGATATTAAAATTAAGGATAATCTAATTATTGTTATTAATTTTTTATTAATAAAAAAATCCTTAAAGATTTTAAAAAATTATGTCATATTGAGAGATCAAAATATTATTTATATAATTTAAAAAGATTTTATTATCATCTTTTTAAAAAATTAATTGTTATTTAAAAAAAACTTAATTTTGATATTCAGGTAAAGTTATCTATTTATTTTGAACATCTATCCTCAGAAGAAAAATCAGAGGAAGTAATTAAAAATATAGATTAGTTGACATACATGGATGACTTGTTAATTATGATAGGCTAACTCATAAATTATAATTTAAAATTCAATCTATTTAATGAATATGAGGTAAAAAAACTAATTTATATTATCTGTTTATTTCCAAATTTTTTAAATTTGTGTACGATCTATATTTTATTTTTATATATAATTAAAAATTTTGACAAACTGCTACAATGTTTTATTAATGGTAACCCTGGTTCATGTTTAGTAAGCTTTCACAATTCACAACATAATAAAGATAATTTGGTTATTTTTATTAATTTTTTAATAATAGAAAAGTCCTTAAAGATTTCAAAAAAATTATATCATTTTAAGATATCAAAATATCATTTATATAATTTAAAAAGATTTTATTATCATTTTTTTAAAAAATTAATTGTTATTTGGAAAAAAAAACTTAATTTTGATATTTAGGTAAAGTTATCTATTTATTTTGAACATCTATCCTCAGAAGAAAAATCAGAGGAAGTAATTAAAAATATAGATTACTTGACATACATGGATGGCTTGTTAATTATGATAGACTAACTCATAAATTATAATTTAAAATTCAATCTATTTAATGAATATGAGGTAAAAAAATTAATTTATATTATCTGTTTATTTTTAAATTTTCTAAATTTGTGTACGATCTATATTTTATATTTTTATATAATTAAAAGTTTTAACAAACTGCTACAATGTTTTATTAATGGTAACTCTAATTCATGCTTAGTAAGCTATCACAATTCACAACACAATAGTTATCTACATGATTATGTTTGTGATCACATATGAACACGTTTTAACATATGCAGATTCTATGTACTAAAAAATATATATATGTAGATTATTGGGCTGATTGAGTTTCAGAATATGACCTACGTGTCCCTCCCCTTGATGCATTAATTTGCTGGGATTTAGCTTTTTTATTTTCCTTTGTGTGTCAATCATGCCATAATAATATTAAAAAGAAAAAAAATTAATTATCTAATTCCTATAATTTAAAATTTGTTATAATTCAACAAATGAAATTTAACTCGATGTGACAAATCTTTTAAATTTTAGCCATTAAAACATCATATGTGTTACTAAGCCATTAAGGCCGTCATCATCTTAGATCTTAAAAAATATTCACTTACCTTATATAATTTATTATTGTTTTTTTCATGGAGCATTAATATTAATTATATATGTTCATTGAGAATTTATTATGTACCTATATTTTATTATATAACCATCAATTAATTTTTTATTAAACATTAAAGTTAATTATATCTCATTATTAAAAATTTATTGCCCCACATTTAAGTGCATTTACGGTTCCTATTTCCAATATCTTTTTCAATGAATTAAACATAACAGTAGAGCCGGGAATAAGGGCCGGGCCTGGAGGGCCAGGCCTGAAAGCCCTGTTTAAATAAGGGTTCGGGCTTTGAAAATAATTTTTTTTTAAAGTAATCGGGCTTGAGGGCTTGGCCCTGATAAGCCCTGTAAAATAGGGCTCGGGCCCGGGCTGCCCTTCAAGCCCTGTTATATTATTTTTATTATTATTTTTTTAGTAAAACATGTGTTTGAAATCAATGACCTGCTCACCTGATCCTACACACATTATATTATTATTAATTTTAATTTATTCTAAAATTAATTTAATCTAATTTAATAAATATCAATGTATAGTATAAAATTTATGATATTTTTTATTTTTCTATAATTATTATGTTTGTATATTTATAAAAAAAATGAACTATTTTTTAAATGAAGATTTAAATTTTATTACTAGACTTCTAATGTATGTTATTTAATTTTTAAAAAATTATGATGATTTTAATTTTTTTAATTTTAAAATATTTTAATTTATTTATAATGTTTAATTTTATTTTAATTTTTTTATTTTTTAAGAAAGGGCTTACGGGCCTGGCCCTGAGCCCTGAGTATAAGGGCCGGGCTTGAGAAATGGGGGTCAAAATGGGAAACCGGGCTTTAGGGCTCAGGCCCTAAAGGGCCGAGCCCATAAGGGCCGGGCCCCCCGTATTCCCAGCTCTACATAACAGAGGGTTCTAGACCCTTAAGTCAGTAGAAAGAACATAAAAAATAATCCTAAGGGGATTAGTAAAGATTATTACACCATCTCTTCGATTGAGAGCCTCCTTTGTAAGCTTATCGACTATGTTATTTGCTCCACGACTACACCAACTTGATACAGCACTCCAGTCCCTAGAAAGCATATTCTGAATCTCAAAGAGTAGATCCTAGTCAAGATGTTGATCCAAGCAATCAACTCTCATAACTTCAATAGCTTCCTGACAATTCATCTTCACTACAACCTTCCTCTAACCAGAGTCCCAATCTCTTTTAAGGGCCCAAAGAATACCTCATAATTCAGTTTACAGATTGATTTCATGACCAATATGATACATGAAGCCGCCAAGGATCATTCCCATGTGGTCATGAGCATTCCATCACACCCTGCGACTTCCCCATTACCCCCATATGCTCCATCTACATTAAATTGGACCACCCCAATCTCTGGAGCACGCTATCCTTTAAAACCACTACAAATATGCTCTGTGCTCAAGTTCGGTTGAGACTATCTTACCATAGCTTGAACTTGTGCAAGGATTGATAGGACCCCATTTGTAACAGCCCCAGCTCACCAAAGGCCTCTCCCCCTAGACTTTTACTGTGCTGGACACACCTCAACTTGGTTTAGTAGTACCAGGTTCAGCCTTAACTTTGTTAAGTAGGACAGGTTGGAGGATCGAACCTAAAGAGGCTCTCCTTGCACTGTTTATCACAAAAGAATAATCCCACATACTACTGTGGGAAAGCCTTATCTCCTGATGCTCTCTTAGGAGGGGTCGTCCCGTGTAGGGCCTAAGGAGAGGTGTGTCTAGCACGGTAAAAGTTCAGGGGGAGAGGCCCTTGGTGAGCTGGGGCTGTTACACCATTTTCCTTTTCACTAAAAGTCTATGACATTTCTGGTAATCCAGAGTTGTCTACACATTAGAGCAAACCATATATCCCAACGCACACCCTTAACTTCAATTCTTCTAAATAAATTCCAATTAATCCAATCCACATGGTCATCATATGCCCTGAATATTGCCTTCATCCCCATTGGAACAAGTCTCTCCCAACATTCCACAGCCATTGAGCAGTCTCTGAGTACATGAATAATATTTTCAATGCACTGAGTACAACGGTCATAAACCTTATTTGATTGAATCCCTCTAGACACATGTAATGAGTTTGTCATTAGCCTTCCTTTCACACATATTCAAAGAAAGGTTTTATTTTGTTGTGGAATTGGAGCCTTCCAAACATGTCTCTACAAGTCCTTTCATGCTATATCACTACACGGGCAAAGATTTAGATAAGCTGATTTAGTAGTGAATAACCCATTGTTCGACCACTTCCATCTTGGTTTATCATCCTCATCTCTTCTAGAAATTCTACAAATCTCGTTAAGAATATTCTATGGAAGATACTCTTCAAACTTTGCATGATTCCATCCACCAGATGTTGAAAAATATTTATCAATCATTTCTTGGCATAGCTCATTAGGAATAGGTTGTGTAACATAATTCAGCAACAGATCATGATGGGGAAGCCAACTATCCTTCTAGAAATGAATGGCAGTACCATGCCCCAATTGCCAAGCTACCCCCTTTAAAGTATTTTCCTAAACATCCTTGATACCTCGCCATGCATTAGAGCCATTTTTACGAGATTCAACTTTAGGCACCACATCATTACCATAGCCATACTTTTCCCCTATAAATTTAACCCATAAAGTGTCTCTTTTGTTTATCAATCCCCACCTGAGTTTCATTATGAAAGCCCTATTCTAATAATGAGCTTTCCTCATACCTAGACCACCATCCTCTTTCCTTTAACACACATCTTCCCATGCTAGTAATGCATTTTCTTCTTTGAGTCCATTTCGTCCCATATAAAATTGCGACATTTCTTATCAATTTCATTACAAGCATGAATAGGCAAATAAGTAGACTACTTCATGTAATTTGGAATAACTGCCACCATTGAAAAGACTAATGTGTGAATAGCTGTCATAGACAACATATTAGCTTTCCAAGAAGATAATCTACTATCCATCTTATGTAACAGGTGTTAGTAATTTTCCTTGGACACCTGCTTATGATGTAACGGGACACCCAAGTACTTGCCAAGATTCGAAGTAGAAGTAAAATTCAAGAATTCACTAATATCCTTTGCTTGCAAGCTTCTCATATTTTCAAAAAAGAAAATATAGGACTTTGCACTATTAATTTTTTCACTAAAGATAAGACAAAAATCCTCCAAGCCAGCTTGATCCATATTAGCTTTAGCAAAAAAAAAAAAAAAGGAAAAGAAGATCACCTGCAAAGAAAAAGATGAGACACAGTAACACCATTCCTTTTTAACTAAAAAGGCATCCAATTTTCATT